AGTTGGGACATGCCGCCACGTAGCTTCTCCTGACCACTCCTGAATCTCCGCTACCCTATTCGAGACGAATATCGACAAAGAAGACGGATGGGATCGAATCCAATGCAACGTAACTTCCGAGTCTGACCAATAGACTATCCGTTCGATAGGGACCTTTAATAGGGGTTTGATTCTGTGACAGAGATCTGCGAGAAGGTGAGCGGCACATAACTCAAGCCTTGGGAGCGTTTTAGTCTTGAGCGGCGCTACTTTAGATTTTGAAGTCAGTAATGACAGTTTAATACCTTCTGCAGTTTTGCTACGAATATAGACGCAAGCTCCATAAGCTCTCATGGATGCGTCGGCAAAGGCATGCAATTGAACCGGTGACATCGGATCGGTGTGCACATACCGCGGAATTGTTATCTCTTCCAAACGAGACAATGTATTTTTCAACTTATTCCACGCAGTTTCCAAATGCACAGGAATCGACTCATCCCAATCCAACTTGTTCAGCCAGAGTTCCTGCAATAGGATTTTTCCTCTGATTACGATAGGACTAAGCAAGCCGAGGGGGTCGAACAGCTTCGATGTCACCGATAGTATGTTCCGCTTTGTCGCTCTGAGACCCATGACGGAATTGTCAATTTCAAACTTGAAAGAATCTTCGTTAGGCAACCACGATATGCCTAACGCCTTCGTCGACTCTGAATCCGAGATTGGTATGGATTTAACTGTGCTCTCAGATGCGGTGACCTCAGGTGAGTTCGAAAACCACTTTGTCAATTCAAACCCGGCGGTTTGAAGAACCTGAGACACTTCAGACCTAATAGATCTGAGCTCCTCGACGCATGCAGCACCAGTTAGCATATCATCGACGTAAAAGTCGGATCCAATCACTTCAGCAGCTCTAGGGAATGAAAGTTTGGCAGATTCACTCAACCTTTTTAAACACCGAATCGCTAGATATGGAGCTGGACCAGTTCCATATGTTACGGTGTTGAGCTGGTATAATCTCAAGGATTCTGAGGGGTCTCTTCTCCACACTATGAGTTGAAATGGCCTATCCGCTTCATTTACCATTACTTGGCGATACATTTTTTTAACATCGGCTGTCAGAGCAAACCTGTGCAGCCGGAAGCGGAGCAGTGTGGAGTATAACTCATCTTGGATAGTTGGGCCTACCATCAAGATATCATTTAGGGACACCTGAGATGACGTTTTGCAAGAGGCGTCAAACACGACACGCAACTTAGTAGACGTACTCTGGGGCCTAAGGACACACTGATGCGGAATAACATAATGTGGAGTCAAAGGAACTCTATTGTCTGTAGGAGACATATGACCTAACGCGAGGTATTCTTCCATGAATTCGAGATACATTTTCTTTAATTCAGGATCTCGCGACAACCTTCTTTCGAGCGACAGAAATCTCCTTTTTGCAACCTCGAATGAGTTGCCCAATCCAGTGGGATCAGATTTAAACGGCAATCTAACTTCAAACCGACCTGATGGCAAAACCTGAGTGGTCTTTCTATAGTGTTCTTCACACAACTTATGCTCAGGTGATAGAATTTTCTTTATAGATGGCATTTCTTCCAGTGACCAAAACTTTTGTAGTGTGCTATCAATCGATACTAATAGCTCTTCACTACAACTGAAACTATTCACAACATCTCTTGGGGCAGACGCCTTGTATCTGCCTGAAACAACCCATCCAAGTAGGGTCTTTTGAAGAGTTGGATAGTCAGGACCTTGCTTAATTTGACCAACAGCTAAAAGCTCGAAAAATGATTCTGCTCCTATCAACATATCTATTCTTTGTGGCTTGTAGAAATAGGGGTCTGCTAATGGTACGTTCTTTGGAATTTTCCAGTCACTGATATTCACAGACTGGTCCGGATGATATCCGGATATCGATTTCAAAATCCAAAAATCGAACGAAAATTCACTACCATTTATTCGCGACTTCACCACTGTGTGTACCTTTTTCTTAACTTGAGAATTGGATTCGCCAATACCAAGTAAGTTGATACACGATTCCTCTTTACGGATCTGTAAGCGGCGAGCAAGGTCTTCTGTAACGAAATTGGCTTGAGACCCAGAGTCAAGAAGGGCTCGAGCCAAAATGTATTCACCGCTTTTCGTGCGGACACTTACGATCGACGTGGCCAAAATCACCCTGTCCAATGATGTCGCATGCATAACATGTGACGTGGAAGGCTGATCCTGACTTTTAGAGGGAGACAGACTCTCTTGGGGTGGTGGCAACGCCAAACTATTCTCGGAGACGGTATACCTGTGCAGTAAAACGTGATGCGAGCGACCACAAACTCGACATTTACTACTCTTGCATTTGGAAACCGTATGACCCTTTCGCAGACAATTTATGCACAAAGACGCAGATTTAACAAAATCGAACCTTTGCATTACTGACAGCCGACCAAACGGACTGCAGTTCGCTAGGACATGGTCTCCAGCATTGCAATAGCTACAACTTTGCACGGACTTAGTGTTGGTCGAAGAACACGAAAACGAGCTTCGATTATGTTTGCTCGGAATTAATTTATCTTGCTTTGGTTTTGATGTTTCCTCAGCAGATAAATGCTGATATCGGCGATTCAACATCTTCTCACAATCGGACCAAAGCGGCAAAGTTTCATAATCGAGCTGTTCTTCCCATTTTTGTTTAGTCACTGGGTCTACTCTGTTCAAGACGAGATAAATCAACATTGCATTGGATATTTTTGTATCATCTCCTATCGATAACAACGATCCATAAATTGATGAAACGGTATCGATAAGGCGTCTTAAGGAAGACGCTGATTGGTGCGTAATTTTTGGAAGAGTGAACAATGTTGAGATATTATTCATAAAAATCAAGCATTCGTTATCGTAGACTTTTTTAAGGCTGGCCATAGCCTTCTCATAATTGCTCGCGGTGACTTGATAAGCCTTAATAGTCCCTAAGGCTTCACCGGAGAGACACGAAATTAGGTGGTTAAATTTCTCGATAACTGGAATGCTGTCGTCTTGATGAACGAGAGTTTCAAAAAGGCTGATGAAATTTTTAAACTCCGAATATTTGCCGCTGAACTTTGGCAAGGCCAAATTCGGAAGTCGAGCTCGAGTTGGGGCTACAGAAGCTGATCCGGAAATTTTTGGATCGCTTGCTGTCTTCAAGGCCGACAAAAGCGACATTAATTTTGCCTTGGTAACAATTGATAGCTCCTCCAACTCATCTCTAAATTCATCGCCATCATCTATATCTTCTATCTCTTCTTGCAATAGATTTGCCTTATTAATTGCAGCGTTTAACGTATCTAATCTACATTTTAATTCTTCTTCTTTAATCGCGATCGCGCCAGAATCGAGTCGATCACTTAATCGGCGAATGCTTTTTACTCGATTTTGTAACTTGGCTTTCAAGTCTTCAAGCAGGTTACTTTTTGGCTTTTCTTGGCTCATTTTTGAATTAAATTATCAAAAACCAAATTTATTAAAGTAAATTATTAAAGGACCAAGTGTGAAAAATTTAAATGAAATTAATTTTCGAATTAAACCACAAAAAAATAATAATTTATAAAATATTAAATTTGTTCGAAAAAAAATTATTAAATAATTATTATTATTAAATAATTATTTAGAGGCGAGAAACAACGAAAATAATTTTTAAATTGAATATCGAGGCACGAAGTATCAAAATTAATAGTGGGTGCCAACGACGGCGAAAAACAATATACCCAACCGAATGCGGGGTAGCGCGTCACTTGACGGTCCGTTAACCTGTAGCGCGCCCAAATGACAAGAACCCAACAACAACAACAACGCTGCTAGCGGCGACCAAGCGAAAGCGAAAAAAGTTTACCGCTGCAGCTGCTTGTATATAAGGGCTTATTTATTTGTGTATAACGGCTCAGATTAACTTCCCAACTATTAACTTGCGAGGTTTTAACGATAATTAAAAACAAGGGGGGCGACAGTGATTGCAATAATTTAACACAATTTAACAAAAGTTGCATCCAAAGGCGGTTCAAATAGTATACAGAAATTTAGCACTTGTAAATATATTAGGTATTTATATATATATATAATGGCTTTAATATTTTGCTACTTTTTGATATTATTTAAATTGTTTAAATTTTAATTTGCATGCAATCTAGCTCTACTATTTTGTACATATGTGCCAAGAATTGAAAGCGAGGTGCAATTTTTCAGCACTAGACAATTAACGAATATTTCTAGTTTTTTGTCAAAAAACTCAGCTTTCAATTTTTTGCACAAATACCTTCGGTTCTTCGTTTGGATCTTTCAATCCAGCTGCCACTTTCCTTTTGCAACTTGAACAATCGCAGGGCATCCCTCGTCGGTGGCAGAAACGTCGAATTAGGGTATTTAATTTCGCGACCGGCACGATTAATTAATAGCTGCTATTGTTTTTTAATAATTTTAACAAAAAACACCACACGTCGCGGGCAACTTGTAATTCACAAGAGTTTTGGATTTTTGTGCAACTTTTATAGCAAAAAAACCACAAGAAAAAAAATCACTTGCAATTGTTTGTTATTTGTGTCACTGTCACTTTAAAAAAATTGTTGCCTTTTATTTAATTAATTAGTCCACCCGGGGGCGCCATGAAAAATTAGAAGCGTTTTTCTAAATATTAAATTCCGAAAATTTGGGTGGCTAATTAATATTTTTATTTTGGCAAAACGACAACGAAAAAAAGAATACGTGCGCTCGATAAGACTCAATTTCGACGAATGCTCTATTCTCCACAATCATACTTAAGCCTAGCTTACCGAAGGTTGGCGAAGACGGAGCGAACTCGCAGAGAGCGAACAAAAGCTTTATTGCGCTCCCGCCTTCGCCCTAAACTAACTTACAGTAAACTTCAAATTCAACGATACTTATTCTAACAATTCAAAAATAAAAAAAGAAAACGAAAAACTGGCTTCAGCCAACAAACCTCATTTTGGGGCTTCTCGACTAATTTTTTGGCTTCAAATCGATCTTAGTATGCGTCCCCAAATTTTGCCAATCCCAGTTTTTTTTGTTTAATATTTTTATGTCAACCCGTTTTTGTTGCGGCAAATAGGTAGAATCCTTTTTATTCTGTTTAAGCCATAACTACTAAGTTTTGTTTGTCTTTGATTATTACCAATTATAATTTTTAGGAATTGGACGAACAGCAACCATTCAACAACTCATTGGAAAATAAAACTGCTGAAGAAACCAGTTTTACCAAAAATTCTGACTTCATAAGACAAGACACAGGTGCTGGAAATGATGACTCAATGCATAATACAAACACTCTGGAAATTGAATCTTTGCGTCACTATCTTTTATCCATTATATATATGCCGAACTCCTTGAGGATGATTTGCTTGACTAATCTTTTTTGTTGGATGGCGCATGTCTGCTACTCGCTGTATTTTACGGATTTTGTGGGAGAAGCTGTATTCAAAGGGGATCCACAGGCAACCTTAGGATCTGAGCCTCAGCTTCGTTATGAAGAGGGCGTCCGATTTGGATGTTGGGGCATGGCAATGTACTCTTTATCGTGTTCTTTTTATTCACTTATCATTGAAAAACTTATTCAACGCTTTAGGTAAGTGTTTCACTTATATAATTACACCTTTTGGCATTAAATCTGTTTAAATGCTGTTTATATATTTTTAGGGCTAAATCTGTGTACGTTGGAGGACTTTTTTTCTATTGTATAGGAATGTCCTTAATGGCAATCACGCGAGCAAAGTTGAGTGTTTTAGTATTTAGTTGGACTGCGGGTATTATGTACTCTACACTTTTTACTATGCCTTATCTTCTTGTTGCTCACTATCATAATGTTTCTACAGTAAGTAAAAAAAAAAACTCTTTATTTTTAAATATTTTATTACAACGTGCCTTGTATGTATATAATATTATATTATATTTACTTAAATTTAATTTTTGTTTGCATCGCGTCCAGAATAACAGGATCATTTTTATATTGTGTTACTTAAAAAGTTATGGGAATTTTCCCTAGAATTTCCCCAAAAATGCTTTTTGAAGTGAAAACTTCTTTAGCGGCGCTGAGCAGGGTAAAAACATTCAAACTCGCGTCAGGGTCCCGTTATGCTGATCGAAAAAGCGTAAGATCGAGGGAAAGGGAGAGGAACTAGTATCTCCCACTCTTTCTACCGTGCCTGAGTCATGGTACAATTATACAAGGTAGTCTCGTCGGCTGCAAAATCGCTCGGGTTTTTTCCCCCTATGGTTCAGTGCGCTCGGGATTTCGAAGTGAGAGGTTGTCCACGGACGATTTTTTCTCAAAACGTTAACCCTTGTGTGCTTGTGAAAAATACTTGTTGCAATTATTGCACATACAAGGCGTAACATGTAATATTGCAGAAAAATATTTTGAAATGTGAACAATATGGGAGCGAGTCCTGAAGGGCAGCTTTGTGTAAAAACCAAAAATTTCGGAAAAATTAATACTCATGGTCATATAACAGTCTTTTTTAGACCCCGTGCACAGCATAAGGGTAAAACGACATCATCTTCTTCTGTTTCTTTCGCACTTACGGGAAAACACCCTCTCACTCGCACTCATTGTAGTGCCCAATAGGGGGAAAAAAAAAGCCGACGAGACTACCTTGTACTTACACTTAAATAGGTTCGAATCAAAACTGTTTGTTTCTTACTTCAGTTATCATAAACCAATTGTATCAGTTGTTAAAATTTGCGATGATGATTCTGATAATAACGATGGTGTAAAAGTCGTCGAAATTATGGATGGAAGTTGATTTTTCTGAGAGATAAAATTTAATGTAATATATAAATAACGATATAATATTATAAATAACAACATATGAATTGCCATATTTGTGTACGATAGCGCAATAAATAAACTTTTTATTCTACCTCTCTCTCCTCTGCGTCCAACGAAGCGCTTTAAACATAAAACAAAAGTATTAGTGGAGAGGTCTGATACAAGTTCAACATGCACTGCTTTGGTTGCAAAGCAGATAAATACGGCCATATACGTTTTGTATGGAACTTTTCCACGTATCCGGTAGGAGGTTAAAAATGGACCACACAGATCTACTCCTGTGATAGCGAATGCCTTGCTTAGAGTAAGCCTTTCAGCTGGCAAGGATCCCATAATTTGTTGCATTAGTCTGGGCTTGTAATGGCAAAAATGGACACATTTCCTGACTACCTTGGCGGCGATGCGACGAACGTTTACAATCCATATTTGAAGCCTTAAAATTCCAATCAGCGCTTTGGGACCCGCATGCATATTGACCTTGTGAAGATGTTTCACGTACTTATAGGTCAAAGGGTGATCTGTAGGAAGAAGCAATGGGAATTTTGCATCGACAGGAATCGGAGCGTTTGCTAAACGGCCACCGACTCTGATCACTGTGACAGTTCGATGTCCAATGTCAGCTTCAGCTACAAACGGAGTCCATTTTTGAAGATGTTGACTGTGACGATTTCCCTTTTTTAGGTCAACTAATTCCTTCGCAAAACTTTGGCTTTGAATGGTGGAGATGATATATACCTACAAACGCCCTTTGAATTTCGCTAGCTTCTAGCTTGATAGGTTGTGAGCCAAGAAGCTGTCTACTGGCAGGAACGCCATTAAAAACTCGAAATATGAACGCTACAATTCGGAAAATTCGAAGATATGATGAGGTTCTGCTGATAAGTTGATTCATGATGGTTCCCTCGGTGCCACTATCGCTACATTTAAAGGTTGATGCTTTTCGCAATTCTAGTGCGGTATCTGAGCTGGATGTTCGTTTTTCTTTTGGCCATGAGAATTTATCAAATCGAAGAAATGTTGGCCCTGTGAACCAGATTGTGTTTGGAAGATCTGCTGGTGTGCATCCTCGGGATACGATATCCGCTGGATTCTCCTTACCCGGAACATGTCTCCATTTAACGTTCGCAGACTTCGTTTGAATTGTTGACACTCGATTGGCTACAAAACACTTAAGCTGGGATGTGTGCATTGTAATCCACTGCAAGACAATTGTCGAATCTGACCAAAATGTGACATCCTTGGAAATGTTTTCAAACTTGTGTTTGATTTTATCCCAAGTTTCACACAGCAGCAAAGCTGCGCACAATTCTAATCTCGGGAGACAGATAGTCTAAAGAGGTGCCACCTTTGATTTTGCGATAACTAAATGTGATTCCGCTTGTCCTCCTTGAGATGATCGAAGATAATTGCAGCACCCGTACGCAAGCTCTGAGGCATCTGCAAACCCGTGTATTTCGCACTCCATATTGCGAGAAGAATTGACAAATCTTACGAACATTTTGTACCGAATAATGATTGGACTTAGAAGTCCAAGGAGGTCGTATAAACTTGCAATAATGGAAATAATTTGCCTCTTGGTGGTAGCTTCGGATTTCGGTAGATCAAATCGGAAGCAAAATATATCCATTTGCGGCTTCCATGACATTCCCAAAGCCTTTGTCACTTCTTTGTCTTCCATCTTGAACTGGTATTCTCCTACACATTTGCCCTCGCCGCTAAAATTCCACTTGGACAGCTTTAAACCTGCTCGTGAGAGAATCTCTTCGGTCTGAAGCATTTTAATTCGCAAATCCTCTAAGCTGTCTGCTCCTGTCAGAAGGTCATCTACGAACATGTCGTTCTGTATAGTAATCGATCCAATTGGGAATTCCTTTTCGTATCTTTTGGCAATGAAATTAAGACTCTGTATAGCCAAAAACGGAGCACTAGCAAGGCCGTAAGTCACCGTATTCAAACGAAACAATTGTAGAGGCTGATGAGTACTATCTCTCCAGAAAATGAGCTGGAAATTACGGTCTTCAGGGTCGACCAAGAATTGCCGATACATTTTGGTTACGTCAGCTGTGAATACGAATTTGTGCAATCTGAAAGCCAATAACGTTATAATCAAATTTTGTTGGATCGTTGGTCCAACCATTAGGATGTCGTTTAGAGAAAAATTTGATGTTGTTTTGGCTGAGGCGTCAAAAACCACACGCAGTTTAGTAGTTGAGCTTTGAGGCCGCAACACTGCATGGTGCGGAATGACATAGTGAGGTTGATCAATCCTAAAATCAGACGCGAGTTCCATGTGACCAAGATCTACGTATTGTTTCATAAACTCGGCGTACAACTTCTTTTGTTCAGGTAAGCGTTCTAATCGCCGCTCAAGCTGAAGGAACCGCCGTCTAGCATTTTCCAAAGAACTTCCGAGATCAGTGGGCGATTGAGAGAATGGCAAACGGACTTGAATCTGACCGGAGTCAAGAATAGCTGCGTGCTTAAAGAAATGTTGAACGCACTCTTCCTCTTTAAGCGTAAACCCCTTTTTGCTGTTCTCCTCAAACGACTCAATTTTCCAAAACTTTGCTAGGGCATCGCTAAGATTCTGGGTTTCCACAACATTACACGAAAATGAATGAGCCCTTGCACCTGATCCGAACCCGTCTTCGACTTTTCCTCCAACAACCCAGCCAAGCGATGAGTTGAGTAGACACGGCAAGCCAGGACCTAGAGATAGCTTTTGTCCAGTAAGAAAATCAAAAAATTCCTGCATACTAATCAACATATCAATCTTTTGTGGCTTAAAAAAGTGTGGATCCGCCAAATCAATGACTTCCGGGATAGACCATTGTGATATGTCTATGCAACGATCTGGCTGCTGCTGAGCTATTGATTTTGTAACCGAAAACTGCAGAGTCCATTCATCAACTGTTAGTCGTGACCGGATGGTTGCTTCTAAAGAAAACTTTATGCGCTCTCGAATGTTGCCAATTCCCGATACCTCTAAATTCTTTTGCTTTAATGGTAATTGAAGGGTTTTCGCAAAAGTTTCCGTAATGAAATTGACTTCAGAACCTGAGTCTAATAGAGCTCTAGCAGAGTGATATACGCCACACTTGTCCTTTATCAAGATAAGAGCTGTTGGGATGAGCGAGCGTCTCGAGTTGCGCGTAATTCATGCAAACACCTGAGTTGAGGAACTGGCTTGAGAGTCCTCTTGCTCGTCACCTTTCTCAATCGCTGTCTTGGTCTCAATTGGGCGATGTAAAGAGGAATGATGCAATCCATGGCATGTCCTACAACGAAATTTTGAGGGACAGTCTGCGGCAATATGTCCTTTATGTAAACAATTCAAGCATAAAGAGGCCTGCCTAACCCAGCTATATCGTCTTTCAAATGAGAGTGAAGTGAACGAAGGACATGACCCTAGGCTATGGTCTGTTGCATTGCATTTAAGACAGCTCCGATTGGCTTTTATAAAGGCTTTTCTGGAATAGCTTGGTTTTTCGGAACGCTTCTCATACTGTTTTCCTTCAACTGGAGGTTTCGTATGACACTCCAAAAATTGACAGTGTCTGCTCAAAGTATTGTAGCAATCTTCCCACTTTGGAAGCTTCTCATACTCCTGGACTCGGTCGTAAGCTTGCTTATCATCAGAATCGACTTTCTGCAAAACGAGATGGATGATGATCGCACTAAGAATATCCTTTTCAGTGCCAAGAGAAAGAAGAGAATCAAGAAGTGCTGAGACTGTATCTAAAATCCGCCGAAGAGAGTTCGGGTCAGATTTTTTCATGTGAGAAATGCTAAACAAACTGGTGATATGCTCAATAAGAATTAATACTTTCTTATCGTAGCGTTCTTGCAATTAATTTAGAGCCTTTTGATAATTGGCATCTGAAACCTGAAAGGCTGACACGACGCTTAGCGCTGGGCCAGATAAACAACTGAGAAGATACGTGAATTTGTCTACTTCTGGTGTGGTAACATCTTCGTCTACCATGTGCTTAAATGCCGAGATGAACCGTTTATAGTCGCTGTACTTCCCATCGAACTTTGGC